ATTCAAAGAGGTATGGATGCAGTAGGTATACATTCGGATTGCCAAGCATAAGTCTACCACCGCTGCAGGTAAGCTTAATAGACATTTGTCAGCCAAGGGATCCTCTGTAAGAACATTAAAAAAGACAAAATAAGCAAAGAAAAAGCTTCACAGCAAGAATGCGAGCATGCACGTCCTCTGCTGACTTCATGATTGTAAGTTGTCGGCACACGTCCCGAAACAGTTATGTGGCTCACCATATATCATTCATTATACACGTTAGCTAGTGGTGTATAAAAGCTCAGCTAATGTGCCGCAATACAAGAAAAAAAGAAAGCAGACGCAACAGTTGCATGCCAGCTGAGCTAGCAGCAACGGATGGGCATCATTCCGGAAAGCTAAAAGCCGGCTAACAGAAAAAAAATATTATGCAAAAAAGTATATTATGCTACGAACTGAGATCGTGGATGGAGGGGGAGACTGAAAAGGATGGGGAAGGACAAAGAAACTCACCGCACGTACGCCACTGAGGTCAGCTCCTAACCACATCAGCAACTGTATCTAGGCATACCTGTTTATCCTCCTTTGGACCCCAACCAGGAAACCGTGGCGCTCCAACAGAGACCAGTTTCGAAGTGAGGGCCTTCATGCCTCTCGATCAAGTCATTGCTTGGACACCTCTCCTCCTCTTCCATCCACACTCCCGGCGCGCAAATAACGCACATCGGGGGAGCCAGTGGGCTGGCATGCATAACATGTGGCCCAGCCAGCAGAACACGGTAGGTGAAATAACGGTGCTGAGCGGTTCATTTCCCTTTCTCCTGTGCCGTAAACAAGGTGCCGAACACGCTCGTTACTCACGCTGTGTTCCCACCAGAGTGAGACAAAGTGCGAACGCACCGATGGTCGAACGTAACTAGCCTCTTTATGTCCGCTACTCTAAGGGGCCAGGTTTCACAACCGTACAATAGGGTCGAACGTACAGCTGCAATGTACACTCTACTCTTCAGGGCAAGAGTGATGTCGCGCCGGCGCCATAAGTGGCGAAAATTAGCAAAATCGCCTCGAGCTTTTACTATACGGTTCGTGATCTCATCTTCAATCTCACGAACGCTGATACAACTTCCCAGATAGTTGATTTTTTGAACGACCTCGAGCTGATCCCCACCAAGGGTCAACGAAAGAAGCAGTCCAGACCAATGTTGGAGGGACGCTTTCCACTTGGGTGGTGCAAAGCAAAACCCGAAGCGGCTGACAGCCAGTGCTAGTCTGTCCAGTGCCGCTTGGCAAGTCTGGGAGCTGTCACAGATTAGGGCAATATCGTCTGCATACTCCAAGTCAAGAAGTCGTTCTCCTGGGAGCACATCCACACCTTCTAATCCGTGCGATCTCCATGAGTTCGTCAATAGCGAAGTTGAAGAGGAAAGGTGAGAGCGGGCATCCTTGTCTCACGCCGGTGAGCATATTCAAGGGCGACGACAGCTCACCGTAAGCCATCACTCTGCCTGAGCTACGTGCATATAATGATAATGTTTACATATTTCTAGGACACACCTTCCTTGAGTAGACATTCCCAAAGGAAACATCGATCAACCGAATCGAATGCACCTTTGATATCGAGGAACACGACAACGGTGGGCCACCAATATATGTGACGGTGCTCCAACAACTGATGCAAGGTGAAGATGTGGTCAATGCAGCCACGACCTCGACGAAATCCAGCTTGCTCTTCACGAATCTGGCTTTCACGAGTGCCAGTCAGTCTGTGAAGGATTACAGAGGCAAGCAATTTGGAGGCGATGAAGATCAGACTGATTCCTCTATGGCTGCCGCATTCCGATCGTGAGCCTCCCTTGAAAATCGGGACTATGACTGAGCGGCTCCAATCGGTTGGGACAGTTTCCTGCTCCCACAGTTTCACTAGTAATTCGTGTAAATCATCCACAAGAGCAGGGCCTCCGAATTTGAAGAGGGCTGGATGAAGATCATCTGGTCCCGCGGCTTTGTTCAACTACAACAGTCCGATCTCACGTTCAAGTTTTGAGAGAGAGCGGATCCAAAGGGACAGCACACGAAACAGGGCGATCACTGGTCGGGGGGAATTGAACAACTTCGGCAGACTAAATTACTTTTAAAAATGCTCAGCCCAAAGCTCCAAACGTTTTGAGATATTGTGGGTGGGCTGTCCTCTCTCGTCATAAATTGCTTCATTAACACCAAGTCTCCTGCTGCTCGTTTCCCGTATAAGACGGAATAACTTTCGATGGCTATCAAAGGCAGCGGCCACTTCCATCTCTGACGCACGAAGACACCAGCAAGATTCGCGGGCCCTCTTCAGGCCAGGACGGAGTTTCGCCCGGAGCTCTTTGCGAGTTTCATTGTGCTCGCTTCCAGCCGGAATATGCCGGCGAGCATCTATAAGTTCCAGAGACTGTGAAGAGAACAATGTCCATGTTGGTGATTAGACATTCCACATGAGGATTTTCCTGTTGCTAGTAAGGTCTGGTGAAGATGACACCAGTGACTTTCAATTGCATCCAGTGAGCGTTTATCCAACTCGCATGTCAGCGTACTTCGATACGCATTCAGAACAGCTGGCATTGTCAGTTGGCTGGTGTCAATGCGCTCACAGCGTCGTCGTGGGCATCCGCCAAAATGCATCCGCAGGTCAGCACATACAAGTGCATGGTCGGTGTCCACACCTGTGCTCCAAATCGAGCGACAGTTCTGGACGCAGCCTCTCCAGCGGTAACTGATAGCAATGTGATCGAATTGCCTCCAAGGCTGGTGGGCGCCAAGTCACCCTCCGGCGGGTGCTGTGTCGGAAATTAGTGCTCGCAAGAAATAAGCGAGCATCCTCACACAAATGAAGTAACCGCTCACCGTTATCATTACGGGAGCCTACACCTGGTTGGCCGTCCAGACGCAACTCATCTGTGGATGATATTCCAACTTAAGTGTTCAGATCCCTAACCAACACAACAGTGTCCGATCTTCTGTGGCGAAGGAGCTCGTTCAGTTGGCGATATAAGTCGTCTTTTACCGAGTTATCTGTACAGTTTGTGGGTGCATAGGCAGCGATAACGAATAGACACCTGTTAGTCCCACGCAACTTCGAAGTTTTGAATGAGCTAGCCAATCGGACCGCACACATCCGGTTACTGATTGGAATCCAATCAACCAGAGTAGCTTCAGCCCGGGGACTCAGGGCAATACCAACACCGGCTTGTCCGGTGCTCGAAGCTGCATCGTCACCGGATAGGCGCAATGAGAAAGTGCAGATAGTGTCACCTGAAGGGGATCGCAGAGTGAGTACAGAGCTCGAGTCTTCCAGGCGGGTCTTCGATAAGCAGCAGATATCGATCGAGAGGTCCTCCACTGTTCGAGAAAGTGCTGCCTGTTGACCGATCTGAAGCAATATGCGAACATTGAGGCATGCCAATCTGGAGGAGGATCGAGGGCTCCAAATGGAAGCCGATGAACTGGAATGGGCCGCTTGATTGGACATGGGCCTGTTGACAGGGCAGGAATGACGCTCCGCGTTCACAAGTGAGTTGAAATTAGAAGATAAATGCCTAGCAAAGCATGTTGGAGGAGGGCCAAGAATCGGGGGTTGAAAACTGGGGGGATAAAAGTGAAGCTGGAACGGGACGATAAAGGTGAAAAAGCGCAAGAGGGGGAATAAGAAGACGGGAAGGCTTGAGCAGCAGCATTCAAACCCTATCCACCCTGCTCGATGCAGCAGATAGGGCACCGTTGATTATCCTCTGCGGTGGCCAGAGCATCAGAAATTTATTTGAAGTGAGATTCATTGTATTGCGTGGGCAGGATACTGTCAGGTTGCCCAGGCCTAGACAGGAGAACGATTAGGGTTCTCAACCAAAGCCTTTGGTTCAAAAACCTGTCCGCAAGGCAGCGGGTTTGGCGTTGGGCTACAAGAGGTCCGTTTTAGGGAATAAGGAGCCACCCTCATTTTAACCCCCAACCTGGAGGACCAGGAGGCTGAGTTTGTCTGGCCTCTAACCATTGACCAATCTGGTATGAGTGACTCTGAAGGTGCAAAAATGCACCACCCAGTATAGCTCAATGGATCACTGAGGCACACAAACCATCGCACCACGGTAAGGTCCAGCCTCATTGCGAATCGTATTTAATGTCATTTACAAAGTCTAGTGACTTAGAAAAAACAAGATTTAAAACTGACGGCTGCTGATTGCTCATGTACCTAGTAGGGAGGTCCACGAACTGGTGTAGTGGTACCTGCAGCGTTAAATCCAGCAATTCTGTACCGAACGATTCCAGAGCCGTAGGAGGTAGGAGGCTATCATCCAGGAAGATAGCGTGAAGCAGACTGACCGTGGTTTTTGATCAATCAGCTTACGAGTTAGAAGCGCTTTATACAGCGAGCAGTCTGAGGGCATACATCGTCACCAGAGCCTGAATTAGGTGCTATAAGATGCGATAAGATACTACCGTTTCGGGTGCATTTTACGTACACGGTAGGCAACAAAGCTCATGCTGCTCGCTGGTGATCTGCCACAAATTGGCATAATAAGGTTGCATGAGAAAGTAATGCACATATTAGGGTTACCGACACTGTCGGAGGTCGAGCTAAAGAGTTTATAAGGAAATAGACATGAAGAAAGTGTAGTGAACACGGACGACCAAGCTAGATGAGATAAGCTTTTTCGACTACCTGGTCAGGCTGGGAGATTCTGTTCGACGGTTCCCACATCTAGTCTCCACTCAATGGATTAATATATGATGCATTACAGAGCATCAGGATAGTAACACCCCAAATATGGCGAGGACCAACATGAGACCGGTCACACGCAACCCTGTGAGAGAAAGAGACCTGTGTGCTCTCTGGAGGGTTTGATAATGTGTGCAGCAAGGTAAAAAAACAGGGAAATATTAAAGGAAAGGTACGTAATTGGTCAGAGATGTCTAGATCAAGACAAGCGGTAGCATAACGGTGGGAAAGTTGTGATATTCCTCCGGTAAAAGCAGTCTGAACTTACACTGAAGTAGGTAAGCTTCCGATTGTGCATCAATATGATGGTGTTGCAAACTCCGTTGAGAAAATCTTGCGAGTGGGAGATAATGACAAGACAATGTGGATAGTTGGTCAATTCACGTTCGAGCCACACGCAGGCGTTCAAATCCAAGTGGTTTGTCGGCTCGTCCAGCAACAACAGAGCTGGTCGGACAAACAATGCGCGAGCTAAGGCGATACGCATGCGCCAACCACCGCTAAAATGTTTAACCTGAGAATAAGAGAGTGCATTGCTAGGTAGTGATTACGTATCAAATGAGATGAGTGTTATGAGAAAAGAACCCGATCAACGTAAAAGAGCACAAAAAATGGTGTTGAATGTTTGCATCTAAAGAGCGATGAGGAATCGTCTGATGGAAATGTAGGAGTTGATGGACTGGTCGGGGGAAACAGTGAATAGTGTGAAAATCTAATCAGAAACATAGAGAGATGCGATCTGCGAGATGGAATGGGGGCATCAGTAGTACGTCAGTGCGATGTTCCGATGATTCGCTGTAACATGTGACCCCCACCAGTTGCGCCCGAGATAGGAATACTGCGAAGTCGTTCGCCCACCTATGCAGATGCGAACCGACGACAATGGGCTCTGCAAGGCGAACGCTTTGTCTCTTCGACCACCGGCCGATGGCTGAATTGTTAGACCAAACATCCAATCAACTTAAAAGCAAAGCGACAGACTTCCACTTAAACGTAAATGTCTGCTAATCAGAGTCACAGACCATCGAGCATAAATAAGTGAGAAGCAGAGTGCATCGTAGAGACAGTGACGTAAAGCGAAACCTGGTATCGTACTCTAAACGCATAGCCCTAGTTATAAAAACACTAATAAGTTTTGAACGTCATCAAAATCATTATCCGGGGGAAGAGGTAACAGTCTAATGTTGAAAGCATCCGTTGTTAGTCTCCAGGTGAAGATTAATAGTCTTCGCTTGGCGGTTTTCATGAAAAAACAAAAACAAAAAGAAAAACGTGGAGCGTAGAAAGTAACAAGTTAACGCCAATCCAGGTGAGAAGAATCGTGCGCCAAATTCATTCCGCGCGTCATAATTTGAAAGCATCGATATAAAGACCAAAAATGAAAAATAATTTCAGTCCGATACGTTGCAGTCTAGCGACAACTAGTTGCTGACCGTATGGTAAAGTAGAAGGGAAGCAAAATAAAGCAGCTAGCGTTTATAAGAGATCTATTCCACTGGCTTGTGAGATCCTTTGGGGTAGTTCGCAAGTCCTTTAATCTGCTGCAAGTTTGAGAATGCCCTAGACATCGTTTTGTATTCTTGGAACTCATCAGTACAGCGCAACACTCAGCACCATCAAGAACGTAACCCATGGTTGCTTGGTACTATAGTTGGTCGCATCATTAACAACTAACTAATAGGCCACTAGAAAGGGTAGTGGACCGTCATAGATTACAAACTAACGGTGATATGGCAAAAATAAGGCTGGCCGCCAGAGCTACTGCTTCACATAACAGAAACTGCCTACGACATAAGCTGTGCCTAGTGACGCAAGTCGCTAGTGATGAGTCGATGGGTTCGGTGGGGTCGAGCAATGCGTACCACCTATGAGCTACTGCAAAAAACACTTAAATATAGTTCCACTGAACTGCAGTTCGAATGCGACTAATTCACGGAAGCAACTTTGAAATGCATGCAGGCATGAATGAAGAGAGATATCCTACGCAGCTGTAAACCACGGTTGAGCATGTCGATGAGACCATCGTCAGTGGATATGGACGAGACCGACGACGAAATAAGGCATGGCTCCTCGTTTAAACAGACTCCTTGGCAGCTGCGTAAGTGTCTCCACGAAGATCTAGGTTTCAGAAGTGAACAACACGACAAACAGACGGTTACGTAAACATGTGAGTCCGACGAATTGGGTGAACAAAGGACTGGATTGCACGAGTAATCAAGAAGGGCATGCTGAGCATATGCCACGTGGCTAGCTGCAATTCCTCATTCGTCGTGAAGATGCGGAATCAAGAAAAGCCCAACGCGACGGTATGCTACTCGATGTACCTATCAAAGATGGAAGTAAGCATATGATCCAATCACCTTGACCGTAAGGCCATCAACTTATTACAAAAAATAGCGTGGCCATCAACCGAACACACGTAATGTGAAAAATTATCGGCAGAATACCTGTGTTAGACGAGAGCGTGTATTGTGAGGAATTGATCATAAAACTTGTGGATTATTATATTATATGAGGGTTCGTAAAGGAAAGTAACTTATGAAAGGCAATGGTGTGACCATCACTAACCTGCTTTTGCTGCATCTCCCTAGTGAATCCAAGGCCGTGAAGCAAAACTGCAGCTTTCGCTTCTGCTTTGTCTGCATCCAAATGGTCTAATCGTTCATATACCGAAAGAAGACGTTCGTGACTTTCTTTTGCCAAAAATGGAAAAAAGAAAAAGAAAGTTAACTTGGCGAAGAACGTGAGTATCTATAATTTATAATAGTGCACTAATGATAGGCGTTAAGCAGCTCAGGGAAAACAAAACCAAAGCCGAGAAAATACGCACCAGAACCGGGTCGAAACTTGGAGAAAAGAATGTGAATTTAAAAAAGCATTGCGAACCTATCATCACGAGAAGGGCTACAACGTCTATACAGAAGCTGGATTAGCTGCACATTAATACGGAGGGAAGATAGAACAACGAGAATGTACATAAACCCTGAGAAACTGCTTGAAAGTTAGTGAAAAATCGGGGCTAATTCAGACGAACGCATACTGATTGAAGTTAGTTATCGTCCTAGAATAAGGTCAGAATCCGCAGCACTGCGTACAGAATGCAGCTAAAAGCGATTTATGAACGGCATAAATTGATACACGGTGAAATGGGACGAGAGGTGATGTTGCAGAGTGGACCTCCAGGCCAAAATTAAACAGATGTACAACGACCAATGTCACCAAAACGAACCAAAAATCCACGGCTAATATCCAGTGTAACACCCATGGCGTAGCAAAATCCAATAATGCCGAGACGCACTGAATCGGATTCAGTGCGAATGGCTACAAGAATTCAAAGTAAAGCCTTCCTCCGTTCCTGTCTAGCCTAAAATGCGGGAATTACCTACACGGCAGGGGTCTGGATACCCTAACATAGAAGGACAGAACAGATTGATTAGGCGGCAGGAGTTAGACTTACGATCGTGACTGGCAATGCCAACGCCTCGACAGAGTTTCGACAACCAACTAATGCTCAACTCTGCACTGAAACTAGTAAGTTTTTCAAAGGCTGTGAAAGATGGGTTTCACAAATGATGGGACTAATGTAAGTTCTTCGTGTGTCATGTTTGCCAAGAAAGCTCCAAGCGGGTCAATGACCAAGTGACAATGGTACAAATGTGTACGCAAGGAGTGGTTAGAAATGGGAGTTAGATTGTCGCGCGTCTACAAGGTGAAGGCAATCCGTGAAATCGACAGCATTTAAGATCATAAGTCCAAACAGGGAAGATACAGCACAAAATGCTAGGAGCGTCTACCGTGGTAGAGACGAAGTAGGGTGAGAAGGCAGCCTAACTAAGTACCCCGGTAGAATGCGCCAAGCATACCCATTTTTGTTCCGCACATAGGGATGCATTTGTGACTGAACAGAGAACAAATTCTGACGTATGGCGACATATCTTCTCTCTTGTCTGATCAAGTGCTAAGAGAAGGTGCAGCGACCAGAATTTGTAAATCCGCTTGCCATTTTCATTTTTCTTTCCAATTTCATGGCGGCGCTAGTCCTGCCGGTTGCATTATGATATTCAGATCATATTTGAGCAATGTTACAGTAACAATAATGAAATGCAGGAGGAAATGAGAATATGAGCAACTGTGTGATGCACGCAATTCGCCGTGGTGGATTCAGGTGAGAGCAAAGCCAAGGTGTGTAGAAAGCTCAGGGAGCTAATGTAGACAGATGTAAGAACAAAAGCGAAATCCCGAGTGCTCTTTGTACTCAACAATGGAGGGAAGGAGCAAAATCGAAAATTCGCAACTTCAGATGCGGTTCCAGTGACCGCATTCATCAAAGTTCACTTTGAAACAAACGGCGGTCCCAAGCCGAACACACAGACTCAACAAAACGAGGCATGAGCTAACGACATAAGCAGCAACAATTAACAGTTGAGAAAGTTGTAAAATGTAGCATACCAGCTACAGGTGTTATGGTGCCTGAGCACTTGGTAAAGTACACGTACTTTGTCAAATGTATCATTTATTAAGGCTGAAACATGTATTAATTTATTTGATTGACTCGAGAATTAGTGAGCCGGTGGAAATATAACAAGTGGAAGTCAACTGAACGCAGCTATTAGCAGTCGAAAACGTTTGGTCGAGTGCTCTAGAAGGTTTCCAACACTTTGGCCTAGAGCTTCTACCGCGAGAGCGTGCGACCGACTTAGCTAATGCTGATGATATCGCCCCCCTCGTTTGGCGGTTAAAGCATCTAAGTATGGCATGAGCTTCGCCTCATCGAAGTGTAAAATGCTGCTCAAGGATTGGCTTTCACCAGCTCCCGTGCTCACTCTCGAAGGTGCACAACTTGAACAGGTAGATAGTTTCGTCTATCTTGGGAGCCGTGTTTCGGATGACGGCACTATCAGCAAGGAATTTGCTCTTCACATCGCTAAAGATCGATTAGCATTTGATAATCTGAGATACTTGTGGCGTCGTCGCGACTTCTCATCCTCGCTAGAGTACCGTATTTACAGCCCATCTGTTCGTTCAGTATTGTTGCATGGGGTCGAGTCTTGGCCAATTCGTATAGAAGACATGCGTCGTCTTGCTGCCTTCGACAACTGTTGCTTAAGGAGGATTGCTCGTGTTTGGTGGCAACATCGAGTTCATAGTGATGACTTTCGACGTCGCGTCTTGGGGAATGTGAGTAATCTATTCAACAAACTGGTTTTGTTGCGCCAGTTGAGATGGATCGGTCATGACCTACGCATGGCGCCTGAGCGTCTACTACGTAGCGCTCTATTCGCTCGTCAAGGGCCTGGCTGGACGCGAACGTGTGGTGGTCAGCCTTCCACTTGACGACAGCACATGAAATCGCTGACGTCGTGTCTAGCCGCTGTTGGATCCGTAGCTCTTCCAGAATGGGGACCCAAAGATGATAAGTATCAATGGTTTAACACGCTTGAAGACATAACCCCCAACTGGAAGAAGTGAAATGGCTGTGTACAGAATTGTAATGATTTAGATGTCTAAGACTTCAAACAATGAAAATGACAAAAAGAGAAAAATCGGCGTGTAAAAAACAAACGAAAAATGTTTTTACCATTTTTGACAACTTGTACGTTCCTTTGATTCTCATGGTTAACTTGGTCCTATGTTCATTTCTTGGATATATATATATATATGTGTATGTGTCTGAAGAATAAGAAACGCTCCTTTTTTCTCTTGCGGCACATTAGCTGGTGTATTGCTCACCCTTACATACAGTGCCACGATGATTATGACGAGGCGACTGTGCCCTTCATCCGCTAATCCACATAGTTTTTGTTGGCTCTATGTCGATTGAGTAGACTGTTGTGATTACTAATGCTACTATTACAGTGCCTCATGCTGAGGCTGCTGTTGAATTCATGATGGTTCCACACCGCAGTTGGTAGTTTTAAGCTGGATAGAAGTCATTCCACTTTAATTGATTTTCTGGTCAGTTATTCTGCTGCACATCCTGTGCCTTCCCTTAAATTCTATGTTGGCTGTTTGATAACCACGTTGTGGTTGCGCTTGATGTGAATGTTGACAAGGTGCCTACCTGCTTAACACCCTCCACCTCGATTACTGGCTGGGGACGGGGTGCACGGTCCTCGTGGCCATGCTAGGCTAAAAGTGTGGTTCCACCCAGTGTGGAGTTTACTACGGCCCAATCACCGCCTTGTGCACGTCTGGTACGCATGATTCCTTACATAGATAGACAGGAATGCTGCTTTCGTGCATGTTAAAGGAGTGTGGACCGGCCCCGTTAATGAAACGTTGCTCACATTCACATGCCTCCCAGTCTTATTCCTTCGGGTTTACACAGGATATGGAGTGTGTGGGTGGAACTGTGGATGGTGCACCGCAAGCCACCCATGGTCCCTCTGAAGGCGCAGGCGTCCTGTGACTGTCCTTTAGAGGCCACAGTGACAGGCAAATCCGGAACTGGATGCTGTCAACCATGAGACTACTACTACAACCACTTTTCGAGGGTGAAAATGTCTAAAACTCATAAACAAGGGGACTCGGTAGGAAAAGGGGGACACTTTCATAGGGAAGAACCGTCCGTTAGCCCTTCTCGTTTCAGCAAATTACCCAGGTGCATGTTGCACACGCCGCACATGGATAAATTCAGAAGGACAATCGTCCCATCGGATTGAATTAGCAGTGTGAAGCGATGCAGTCAATGTATCGACAACCATGTCGAATAAGACAGGTCGATAGATTTTCAGCCCTATACAATCCGAAGAGATTTAAAATATGGCTAAAGCGACTCCCTGCAACAAAGGTGGAGACCATCCAGCCACTATCAAGCACGCTACGTTGTAGCGCCCGGTAACACGAGGGTACTGAAATTAAAGCCAAACTCACCCGAGTCATCACGTAAAACGAGTTCGCCAGCTTCTTTCTCCAAGCGCTGACGTTCAGTGTTCACTTCCATGACGCACTGCAAAGCGGTTTTGTCACTTGGGGGCATCTCACGCTGCAAAAGGAATATGTCCACGTGATCCGGGATAGCAAGCTCTCGATTGGCCATTACGGCTAGAAGAGTGGATTTACCGCAACCGTTAGAACCGATGAGGCCATATCTGCACGTAAACAAAGCAAGGGAGGCAACTCGGTGGTTAACACTGCACATCACATCGCAAAATCTAATGTTCTAAAGATGAAGGAGAGGTAATTTGATACGACTACAAGAAACGTAGGTGAGATGAAGAACCATGCAGACCTTAGGAAAGAAAGAGCTAGTGTTCGATGAGGTGAACGTTTTAGAGGTAATGCATGAGCACTATAAGGAGAAACTCTAAGAAGACAACTCAGACGTACGCAGTTAATAAGCATCGTTGCAAAAAAAAGCGGAAAAATTCCGATGCCGGCCTGAGCAGTTTTGTTAGATGACGGTAAGAAAACGTGGTCATACAAAGTACTGACAACCGTATCTTTGTAACGGTTGAGTAAGGGTAAGAAAATAGAGAGGAAGGGTGGAGAGCTCAAAGCATATACATAGGTCGTTGAGTCACTGCTCCGATCCCCTCGATTAGGCAAAAGAATGGTGACGAGTGCTGAGAGGACGAAACTTCTGCCCGGTTTTAAACCGGAATAGGTTCGACAGTGGCCAACTACAAATGGATCAATGACTCAATAAGGAAAGATTTACAGTTAAAGACAAAATTGCTGCAAGGGATGTAAAAGACAGTTTTTGGGAAGTTGTGGCGACAAATTTCATGAAACTTATTGAACAGATGGGTGCTGGATGTCACACGTTCGCAATGATACACAACACGACTAGTTCAGTAACTGTTTGCACTCGCCAAATGCGACTAGGATCCGGAAAGAAGGTTATAAAACGCTCTTTAAATGGAATATGTAAAAGATTGAGCAGATCGGTTAGGAAATGACAGCCTGATTAGAGAGACGATGAAGCCGAAGCATTGGATGGACAACCGAAGAACACATAACGCACTATATATATATATATATATATATATATATATATATATATATATCGCGAGAGAGCCTATGTTGCGCTGAGGTTGGTGGTGGCTAGATTTTGACAAATGGTCTATCCACTGCTGCTACTGTTGTTCCATGGACTCATGTCCTGGACGCCTCCTCGTAGCGACCGCTCGGTAGGAGTTGGGTTACGCCCATCTCCTAGCTAAGAGCCGGGATACCAATCCGCACGAGTCAGTGAACTGACCATGTGCTAGACCCGCTGCGTTTCGGGTGTACATTTATTCGAAGGCTTTGGCTGAGGACCAGAATCGTTCTCCTATCGGATGTAGGCGCCCCACCAATATCATAGTCCAAATCCCATCCTCTTCGGTTAGGAAGTGGTCGATGGTTCTCTTTCCATAAAAGCTAGTCATGGGAGACAACAGGCCCACGGGTAATAAGCTCACCGTTCGATTGGCGTAGAGCACGAGCGCCACGCATTAACTCTGACGGAGGGAGGGCACATCCGGGTGCTCAATGGTTTGCTACTGCCCGCCTCAAGCCAGGCAGCCCCTGGTCAAATTGATGCGAACCCGCCAAAACCATCCTGCGTATGGCCGTGGTCACAGGCGCGTAGTTTATCACGATCGCAAAACATACATGAATTGTTCCAGAACTCCAAAGGCTGCGCGTGACGGACCTCAAGCAGATCTCAATCTGTCTCTGCAATCACATTCCCGAGCTGGATCTGCTCCCACACTGCCTTGTGGGTCAGGCAATTGAGCTAAAGATTCCGCTTTTTCACTCTTACCGTCCCATTCCAACTTTACTTATATCCCCCCAGTTTTCAACCCCCCCGATTCTTGGCCCTCCCCCAACATGCTTTGCTAGGCATTTACCTTCTAATTTCAACTCACACGTGAACGCGGAGCGTCACTCCTCTCCTGTCGACAAGCCCATGTCCAACCAAGCGGTCCAATCCAGTTCATCGGCTTCCATTTGGAGCCCACGATCCTCCTTCAGATTGGCATGCCTTAATGTACGCACACTGCTACAAATCGGTCAACAGGCAGCACTTGCCCGAACATTGGAGACCCTTTCGATCGATATCTGCTGCTTATCAGAGACTCGCCTGCAAGACTCGAGCACTGTGCTCACTCTGCGATCCCCTTCAGGGGACGCAAGCAGTATTTTCTCCTTGCGCCTATCCGGAGACGATGCAGCTTCGAGCACCGGCCAAGCCGGTGTTGGTATTGCCCTGAGTCCCCGGGCTGAAGCTGCTCTGGTTGATTGGATTCCAATCAGTAGCCGGATGTGTGCGGGTCCGATTGGCTGGCTCATTTAAAGCTTCGAAGTCGCGCGGGACTAATAGATGTCTATTCATCATCGCTGCCTATGCGCCCACAAACTGTAGCGATGATTCGGTAAAGAACGACTTCTACCGCCAACTGACCCAGCTCCTTCGCCACAGAAGAAGCACGGACACTGTTGTGCTGGCGGGGGATATGAACGCACAAGTTGGAAAGTTGTCCACTGATGAAATGCATCTGGGCGGTCAACACGGTGTAGGCTTTCGTAATGATAACGGTGAGCGGTTACTTCATTTGTGTGAAGATGCTCGCTTATTTCTTGCGAGCACTAATTTCCGACATAGCACCCGCCGAAGGGTGACTTGGCGCCCACCAACCTCGAACCAGCCTTGCACGCAGATCGATCACATTGCGATAAGTTACCGCTGGAGAGGCTACATCCAGAATTGTCGCTCGATTTGGAGCACATGTGTGGACACCGATCATGCACTTGTATGTGCTGACATGCGGATGCGTTTTGGCGGACGCCCACGACGACGCTGTGAGCGTATTGACACCAGCCAACTGACAAAACCAGCTGTTCTGAATGCGTATCGAAGTACGCTAACATGCGAGTTGAGCAAGCGCTCACAGGAGACAATTGATGGTCACTGGTCACATGTTCGCCAGACCTTACTAGCAGCAGGCAAATCCTCATGTGGTATGTCTAATAGACAACATGGACATTGGGTCTCTTCGCAGTCTCTGGAACTTATAGATGCTCGCCGGCAAATCCCGGCTGGAAGCGAGCACAATGAAACTCGCAAAGAGCTCCGGGCAAGAGTCCGTGCTAGCCTGAAGAGAGACCGCGAATCCTGGTGGTCTCATCGTGCGTCAGAGATGGAAGTGGCCGCTGCCCTTGGCAACCATCGTAAGTTATTCCGTCTGATACGGGAAACGGGCAGCAGGAGACCTGGTGTTAGTGAAACTATACGTGACGATAGTGGACAGCCTATCCACAATTTGTCAAAACGTCTGGAGCGTTGGGCTGAGCATTTTGAAAAGCAATTTAATCGGCAAGAATTGTTCGATTCACCGGTCACTGATCGCCCCGCTCCGTGGGCTGTCCATTTGGATCCACCCTCTCGCTCAGAAGTCGAACGTGAGATCGGACTGTTGAAGTTGAACAAAGCCGCGGGACCAGATGATCTTCCTCCAGCCCTCTTCAAATTCGGAGGCTCTGCTCTTGTTGATGTTTTACATGAATTACTAATGAAACTGTGGGAGCAGGAGACTGTCCCAACCGACTGGAGCCGCTCCGTTATTGTTCCCATCTTCAAAGGCGGCTCGCGCTCGAAACCATAGAGGAATCAGTCTGATCTCCATCGCCTCCAAATTACTCGCCTTCATAATTCTTCACAGACTGACTGGCGCTCGTGAAAGCCAGATTCGTGAGGAGCAAGCCGGGTTTCGTCGGGGTCGTGGCTGCATCGACCACATCTTCACCTTGCGTCAGTTGTTGGAGCACCGTCACACATTGGCGGCCCACCGTAGTCGTGTTCCTCGACATCAAAGGTGCCTACGATTCGGTTGATCGATGTGCCCTTTGGAATTGTCTACTCAGGAAAGGTGTGCCCGAGAAATATGTAAATATTATCCAAGCATTATATGCGCGTAGCACGGGCAGAGTGAGGGCTTACGGCAACTGTCGCCACCCTTCAATATCTCCAGCGGTGTGAGACAAGGATGCCCGCTCTCACCTTTCCTATTCAACTTCGCTATTGACGAAGTCATGGAGATTGCATTTACAGGACATGACTTGGAAGGTGTGGAGCTACTCCCAGGAGAACGACTTCTTGACTTAGAGTATGCAGACGACATTGCCCTCATCTGTGACAGCTCCCACACGTGCCAAGCCGCGCTGGACAGATTAGCACTGGCTGTCAGTCGCTTCGGGCTTCGCTTTGCACCACCGAAGTGCAAAGCGTTCCTCCAGGATTGGCAGGGTTCGCCCCCTGTGCTGACCCTGAGTGGGGATCAGCTAGAAGTCGTTCAGAAATTCAATTACCTGGGAAGTTGTATCAGCGCCCTTGGGATCGAAGACGAGATCACGAACCGCATAGCGAAAGCTCGAAGTGCTTTTGCTAACCTTCGCCACCTATGGCGACGGCGCGACATTACTCTCGCCCTGAAGGGTAGAGTGTACAATGCAGCGGTACGTTCGACCTTACTGTACGGTTGCGAAACCTGGCCCCTAAGATCGGCAGACATGAAGAGGCTACTTTCGACTATCGGTGCCTTCGCAGTTTGGCTCACATTTGGTGGGAACATCGCGTGAGTAACGAGCGTGTTCGACGCCTTGTTTACGGCCTAGGAAAAGGGAATGAACCGCTCAGCACCGTCATTTCACTCACCAGGCTCCGATGGCTGGGCCACGTGTTGCGCATGCCAGCCCACCGACTCCCTCGATGTGCGTTGTTTGCTCATCGGGGATGTGGGTGGAAGAAGAGGAGAGGTGGCCAAGCGATGACTTGGTCGAGAGGAATGAAGACCCTCACTTCGGAGCTGGCCTCAGTTGGAGCTTCACGGCTCCCTGGTTGGGGTCCAAAAGACGGTGAACACGTTTGGCTGGATACACTTGCTGATATGGCAAGGAGCCGATCTCAGTGGCGTTCGTGCTGTGAGTTTCTTTGTCCCTCCCCATCCCTTTAGCCTCCCCCTCCATCTACGATCTTACTTCGTAGGGCAACACGTAATTAACTTTTTGTTTTTGCCTAGTAGCCGGCTAGTAGCTTACCGGAACGATGCCTATCCGTTGCTGGTAGCTCAGCTGGCAATCAACTGTCGTATTTATTTTTCTTTTATG